GGAGCATGACAGTCGAGAAGGTATTTACGAACATTTAAAAATTCAGAATTTTCGAAAAAGTATCAGGGGAGCATGACAATTGAGGAGGAATTCACGGAAATGGAAAAATTCAAAATTTTCAAAAAAGTATCAGGGAAGCATGAAAATCGAGGAGGTATTCACTGAAATTGAAAAATTCAAAATTTTCAAAAAAGTATCAGGTGAGCATGAAAATCGAGGAGGTATTCACTGAAATAGGAAAATTCGAAATTTTCAAAAAGGTATCAGGGGAGCATGAAAATGGAGGAGGTATTTACTGAAATGTGGAAATTCGAAATTTTATAATAAAAAACAAAATTCAATTTGGTAACGCAGAAAACTACATTCACCAAATGGACTGATCCCTCCAACAACAGGACTGCTATACTGAATATTACCAAAGAAGTAACTTCGGTTTTGTTCGGCTCGCCTGGTGGGGAACACGGCCACAAGTGGGGATTTCGGAGAGTGGGGGTTACGGCCGAGGTTACTCCTCTGACAATATTCACTATACTGAGGCAGTTACCGAGTTGTCTGACGGGCAGACCCCCCACCATTATGTGGGGAGCCCCCTCTCTCTCTTGGGGGGGCGTCGCTACAATGCCAATGGGGTCACTCAAACCCCCAGAACTGAGCCTCTACTTTAGTCAATCCTTTTTGACTGTACGTTCGCATGATGTTTTAAATCAGTTTTTATTCGATATCTCTCAAGTGATGGAAGACATCGAAATTTTCATACATCCTTTTTTTCTAAGTCTCATTTTGCTCTACAACAGATGTTCTTATAAGAATTGTCCGATGTCTCCTAGCTCCGGAGATATTTGTGAAAAGCCTCTCAATCGTCGTAATGTCCAGTTTGCCCCGGATGTCCATTCTGCCCCTAGGTATATGGCATTTTAACAGGCGGATAAGGATGGCAATATCAGCAAGTTCTAACGATGCTTTCGTTTGTTCCTACGACGTTCTTCTTCCCTCTTCAAAATTCTCCTTTCCCTCCAGATATTTTCTAAATATTCCATTGAAGGGGTCAGCATTCCAAACAATGCAGCTGAATAATTCCCTACACCCGGGTTGATAAATACCGCCTTGTCGTTGAGGATCCACCGGCTGTACTGAATTTCATTCAATACTTTGAAGCCCAATCTCATGGCTAATTCCTGAGTAACACCAGAAGTGAGTAGAGCCACGATGGCAGGCATTTGTAAAGCAATTGCCATCAAAATGAAAGCCTCAAGGAGAGCTGTCCCTAAACCCTTTGACCGATAACTCGGATGAACGCAGAGAATGTAAAGACGGAATATCTCACGACAGTTGAAGTAATTATGAACATCTGCTTGTTTAACCAATGTATTCTTGAAATCCATTATTTTCTCCAGTACTTCACCTTCATGAATCTACGAATTAACGAAACAAAATGTAAACAGAACAAACGAATCAAAGTGTACAATTAGTAGATACAAAACAATTGCAAAATCTTATGAAACTTTCAATTATAATAAATTCTTTAAACATTTAACTTTAAAGTAGTTAATGGCAAATCTTGCAAATCCTCACGAACTACAATTTTCGTTTCACGAAATTCTGCAAAGCCAATTAATTTTAAGTGCGCTCCAATTATGTTATAAAATTCATGGGGCTAATTAACCTGCATTCTTGAATAAGTTATGCTCCGATCTACTTCAATATTGGGTCTAGCAACTACAACACCCACGACTCGTTCAGATTTGGAGCTTAAAGCAACGAGACTTGTCGTATCCTTCATCCACACGCGAATGTAATCCAAGTAACATTCCACAGACAGCGGATCTTTTACAAGTCCTGCCGACGCACACATAGGATCGTCCTTGAAATAGTGTCGCTGCAATTGAATAAGGAAATTCATACATATGTACGATACTGTACAGCATGTAATGGGGCGACTTTCTAAATCACATTGTAAATGTTCATTCTTCCCGTGCACATTTCTTATTGTTTTTTCATTCACCTTTATCAGACGCAATACTTCGTCGAAGTGTTGGGGTTGCACGTCCAGGATCTTACAGGAGTCTATCGAAGGCCATTCCAGGGGTGCTTTCAGTCTTTCCTGCATTTTTAAAAGCATTTCGTCTTTCTGGACGTCTGAAGCTGTTCTTCCTCCGTCCTCCATCTTTACTCTTTTGAATTAATTCGATTTTTTCAATCTGAGCGAATAATCTAGCATAATATATTTTCTGACGAACAATCAAATTAATTTCATTGGACTACCGATTCACTAAAGATTTGAAAATGAAGTAATCACTCATGAGTCGTTTCATGCATTCATAACCTCGTGAAGTTAATTCAATATTCCAATGACACATTCGCTGCTAAAAAAAATATAACTACCTATTTCTTGTCACGTTAATAAATCTTGTACGAAAGTTGATTCAACAACCGCAAAAAATTGCAAACAAATTTCTTAATCAACTACAGGCTTCGCAATTATTTTACTCATTTCATCAGCCCAGTGAAGTTGAAATTAGCCGCTTGACTAATAATATAATAATCTAATCCAATCGTTACACTTGATAGATTCAACCTCAACTCTTCATCCATCGTTAATCCAAATCTGAACATTCCAGCTGCTGAGCAAATTAATCACTCTATTAAATCACCTACCTAAATCGAAGCCAGCAATAATCGAAATTGTCTTTTAACCACAGGAATGTTATGGGGCAACTTTTTCCGATGAGAATATGCGTTACTATCTGCTTCATCGGTCTGTGTAACCTTCTTATGTCTCTTCGAATAGTTCATGTTCACTGCAAGGTCGAGTCTAACTCGAGTGAAAGTCAATAAATTTATGAATGAAAAACCTGATTTGCGGTTTGTAATTAAGAAATCCACGCGGAAATTCCTGATATCTAATTGAATGAGTTGACAACGCACTGAATGAGTTTTGTTTATGTATTCCAAAGGAACAAATAATCTGGGGAAACCCGAGAAAATACATTCTATCCACGACTGGAGTCATTGATTTATTCGTAACTAGGTAGTTTTCCTTGACAAACTATACATCTTGAATTTGAATGGCAAGACAAACGCGAAGTGTTGAATTTCCACAGCACACTGACGTCTAGCTCCAATTCTTGCAACTTGTGATGATTAGTTCCCCTTATTCATCGGTTTTTCCGTTCTTACGGAATATATTTTAATCAATTATGAATTTTTATTACGCGAAATTGTACTAAATAAATTTACCCTGATGAGAAGTGCATTTAAGACTCGAACCGTTAGTAGATGGTTTAAAACGAAATTATTATCAACTGTGACCGCCAATTAATTGTCAATGGAAGTAATTCCAGGAAGTAATTTTTTTGTAAAATAAAGCTCTAAAGCTCGTCCCGCTGGAAAGATGGCTTATTGGATGTGTTCACACTCTCCCGGTGCGGCAATGATGCCCAGAACTCCATTCTGTCTTTGAGAAGATGTTTAGACATCTTGAAATTCATTGAATTGTCGATTAATAAATATTCGAGAGCATCAGTCTTCACTGGCTTCCATGTCATAGGAAATTCTGATGTCACCCGAGGTGTAGGATTTCTGGAATGATTAAAAAATTGAATTAAACTTCCATACAAGATATTGCTTAATTCGCCTAACTGCCTGAATGAGTTAGAGAAAAAAAAATTTCCTGAACATTAAGTTGATGATTTTTAACGGCTCATTTGTCATGATTTTAAACTCACCCAGTTTTCGCAAAATTCGTCCACAATTTTGTCATAACGTCGGCTATTCTGTGATCCTCTTTGGTGAACGGAGTGTCTTTAAACAATTGTTCACCGACGGGGAAGAGGTATTGCAGCTCGTCAGCATGAGAAACTCCATAATCTTTCGTTTCATCGCCGAATATTTTAGAGAATGATGCACTACCTCTGTATGCAAAGTAGTAATAATAAATTGGACTCGATAGGACCTCCAGGTGATCCCTGACTGCCATGTCAGCGCCGACATTGAACCAAGCATCAGAATACATCTATACAAATACAAATATATATTACAAATATATATTCTATATAGAATATATAGAATACACAACTCGGGATTAGTTACAATTTATTCTATCTTCAACTATTATTTTTTTATTAAATGAAATTTGTCCAGTGAGTCAGAAAATTGTCGGATAAATGAATAATAATCATCATTACATCAATGACATTGAATCTCGTTGACTCATCGGCAGGTTTGTCTCCCAGATAGAATTTTCGAATTTTCCTAGACACATCGTCATGCTGATCTTTGGGGCAAGTGTGTTCGTACATCAGTGACAGAGGCGCCAACTCCATGAATTTCTCATTAAACATCCTGAGATATTTTTTATCTTCTATCCCGTAGAGACCTGATGGTGACAGAAGATGCAATGAAATTATCCTCCGCAGAGAGTGATTTTCTCGTGCTTACCAGCCACTTTGATGGCGCCTTCCTGGGAATTGAATCCCGTCATCCAAGGGATATCTAACATGTGGCCATTTTTGAGAGTTTGAGCAGGTTCTTCCTTCAAAAATGCACCGGGATGGTCGGGTTCTATAACAGGTTTGAAGGGAATCATGGGATCGTAGTCGAAGATCTAAAAAAAATATTGACGATCATTAATGAATCGGACAGCAAATATCCTAGTTCATAGATCTAATATGAAAATCCTAGTGCAACCACTTGCACGGCTGTCTGGGATAAATTCATGATCACTGAACTGCAATCTGTTGACAAGTGAAGTTTTACTAGTACTGTAATTGACACAGTGACGAAATGCATTTTTCTGTTGGCGTGCAGTGATTACATCAATGCGCGAATATCCCGGTTAATTATGCAAATTTAAGTACAAAAAACCGGTTTTTCGCACGTCAAATTTCGAGATAATTTCAATATTGTTTATGACTCTGGTGCAATCTTTCCGTTTATCCATACGCGAATGATTTTCGCAGTTCCTACTTAGAGGAGAATTTAGTATGAGTTGTGATTTTAGATAATGAGATCATTGCATCACCGCGATTTATTCGAAATGACTAATACCGATTTAATTTTCCTGCAGTATAGCACTCTAGCTGGTAAAACTCATTTCTCATTTCTTCAACTTCACACATCCGTTAGTATTTTTCAGATGTAAAATTATACCACAATTATCATTATGTTTCCAATGTCTGTAATCGGAATTGCAAAATAACAACATGAATGACGTTAATCTCACTTGCATGCGAGACCGGCATAGATGATTTCGTGCAGCCGTTAATATAATGTCAGTGGAACGTGGAAGGGATTGACTAATTTGAAATAACTTCATACAAATATTTATGCCTTTCCAATGAGTCTGAAGTGTTCGACTCGTTAATCCCTAGAAAGTCGTCAGAGCGATTTGAGAATTTGTTCACTATATTCTAATATTTGCTGTTACTTGTAATTACTCATTGTCCATATAATCAATCATTCTATTTTCAATTTTCTAAGAGCTGTGGTATTCACCTGGAATTCACGATCGGTGGCAATTATTTCCACATGATCTTTCTTCTTCAAACATTGCAAAAGTGAAGTTGAACTCTCTGTTGGACAATTGAGGATTTCTCCGAGACGTATGGCTTGTTGTTTAGCAACTCCTGGTCTCGTCAGCACCCATGGACATAAAGCTGTTCCACTGTGAGAGATTCCCCGATGGAAATAATCTTTTAAATAAATAATGCCGGTTAATCGGATGTGATTTCAAAATCAAGGGCAATGTCGGTACAAAACTTATTGCATGCATTACTAATTAGAGTGTTTGCCACGCGAAGTGAAGACTCATTAAATATCTTTTGGTATACTGGAAACTAGTTTAACGAGTTTTCTGTCAGTTTCCTGAAAAGCGATGCACAAATTCCTATTCAAAGTAATCTGTATTCAAATAGTGCATTAATTCGGACTAGAATCTCAATGGCATTGGATATCTGAAGTAAATTATGTTTAATTAAGTTCATGTCTCGTATCGAGATCGAAATCATTTGACATGACACATTGACATGATTTTCATATTTTATATATTAAAAGAGTGATTTTTTTCAACACACGCTGTTAATGAAATCAGTAACTAAAATGAATGAATGAATCAATCAATTAATTAATGAATTAATGGATGAATCAATTAATTAATTCTTATTTATGGCAATGTGAAAGTACCTTGAGAGAGAGGACTCATCATATGGTAATGAGTACTTGCTCCGCCCGCACTTTCGCCGAATACCGTCACTCGATTTCGATCACCACCAAACGCTGCAATATTGTCATGGACCCATCGAATTGCTTGTGACTGGTCCTTCATTCCCTGATTTCCAGGTGAAACCAAGTCTTCAGTGCTCAGAAAACCTAATGGTCCCAATCTAAGTAGAAGTTAAATAAAAACAAAAAAGCAGAATGAAGTAATTTTTCACTTTAGATTGAAGCAGTGGCTTGAGACATTTCACTCAAATCGGTAAACCGTTAATTAACAATTAACTCCGAATGATGGAATTAATTATTTTCCTTGGGCGGCTTAGGAGATCGTCGAGAGCCAAATAATTGTACCGATGAGAAGGGAAAAACAATAACTGTTGTAATTGGGTATAATATAATTATAATTCGGTATTCAGATACCTGAAGTTCACAGTTACCAGGATGACATCGTGATCGAGCAGAAACTTGGGTCCATAGAATTCCGAATGTCCAGCTCCAGTTACCCATCCACCCCCATGAAACCATATCATAACGGGATAGTGAGAAAATTCTCTGTCAGTAGAACTTGGGAGCTTTGGAGTGTAAACATTGAGATATAGACAATCTTCAACTCCAACGACTTCCTTCTGATGAGTATAAATATTTCTCTGCGTGCATATCTCAGCATCTCCCTCAGCAGACCGTACCCCACTCCACGCAGCCGCTGGTTTCGGTGGCTACGAATCATTGCAATTAACAAAATTCAGAAAATTGTACGAAGTCCTTTCTTATAATCTCGAAAATGGACAAACACTTATTAATTCACTGCGCAAAAAAAAGTTGATGATAGTAATCACCCTCAAACGTGCGAGTACTCACACAATTTAAAATTCAACATCAATGAAAGAGAATTAATTACAGGAATTATATTTTTTTTATTAAAATGTTTATAATCAGTTCTTTTTTAGTGGATATTACAGAATATTTTACCTCAAATCTGAGTTCGCCCAAGGGCGGGAGTGCATAGGGGATTCCTCTGAATGCGGGGAATTCCCTTCCATATCTTGTCTTCATGAGAGATCCCTTCAAAGTTCCATTTGTGATCTTGACTATTGGCGATGACCAGACAAAACCACTGCAGAATAATAACACCGCGATAATTGTTAAAGCCCTGTCTATGGCATACATTATTTGCGCGTAATGATTGTAATTCGCGTTGTAGGTAATTAACTCCGATAAGCGAATTGAACTAGTCAAGCAATCGCCGCTCACTCGTTGGAGGTAGAAACTCGACTGCTGAGAGGTGAGAGACTGTTGGATATATCATTAAGTCAGATGATACTGGCTGTTTTATAGATTTCTTTGTGGAAAGAGGAAGGAAGATTACTGAAAGAGATCGGAAATAATTCTCATTGCGGACATAATTATAGATAATTTGCTGCACATGAACGGATTGTTCAAATTCCTGAGGGAAAAAAGTCAATGAGAGAATGATCTACTGTTAATGAATCAATACCGTTGCATTGTTGCATTAATTACCATTAGCATTGTCATAACGATTCAGTTCGATAAATGAATTAATTAGTATCGACGTAATAGACCTGCGGGAATAATTAAACCTGTATTTCTTTTTGCGTTTTGATAAAACTGGATAAAAAGGAGAAAATCAGTCAGGAAAAAATCAGATTCCATGATCAGACAACACTAACCATTCATTATTGTTAATTACTTCATACATTATTCTTGATTCATTCATTTGCAAGTGGATAATCAATACAATACAATATTATTATATTTTTATTTTTACAAGTCTATCTTGCACGCATTTCGTTTTAAAAATTTGGTATTATTAATATTCTGTAATTCCCGATTTTTAAACCTCCCCCCCCCCTTTTTTCGTAACAATCATTTTACTCTCGGGCGTCCATATTAACGGGATCTTCCCCTCGGACAAAAATGTGAGAAAATGAATGTCTGGTGATGATTATAAAGCCCAAACTTTGACATAATCAATTCTCAAATCCCTATCCGTATTTCGCCATGTTGCTGACCAAACTGGAGTGGAATTGTAGTAATCGAATAAAGCCTGTGAATAAAAATGAAAGATTTATGTCGTTGTTCACTAGGTCAGAGAGTCGGTTTATTAAGGGTGCACCTATATGTATGATCAAAATTAATGTTTTATTAATTTTTCTAGCAAACTTACTATGAGATTGACGCAAAAAAATATAGTGAAATTTCAAAGTACTGCGACCATTTTTTTACGTTTCTTTTCGGAACTTAAAGAGAACCACAAAACTGCGGAGAAAATGCATGAACATAATCGCACCACCATAAAACTTCGTGAGGGATTGAATAATGACAAAATGCAAGAACAATATATTTTTTCACATCAATTCCATCGATAATTTGCCAAAAAAATAAAAAACCGTGAATTCTGGCTATTTATGGGTGTGGAGTATGGTTAAACTGACCTTAGACGCAACATTTCTCCAAGGTTTCTGATTCAACCCACTGCTGGTCTGATCTGGGAACTCCGTGGAACCACCAGCTCCAACCGCTAGAGTTATGTAAAACTGAAAAATCATAATCTCATGAGGAACTGGTGATTTTTAATTACCAGTTCGATTCTAATATAGTTCATTACCCGTTTAATGAATATGAGATCACGATTACAATCCTACATTTATATAATTACCGGTTTATCAAAATTGGCATCAATCGTAGCACTTCCATATTCCACATCATCAACTTTAACGACAACTCTGTTTTTTCGCCACTCCAGAGTATACGTGTGAAACGAATCGGACCAAGCCTCCGGTGAATATCTCCTCGCACGTTCAGCGGGTCCAGTACTGGCAGCAGTCAAATGTGCGATGGGACCGCCATAAATGACATGACCACTGATATCAGATCCACCAATGACCTGCAGCTGTTCATTACCCGCCGATTCGGCAATTCTCAACTGTTGAATCGTGTCCGGTGCATTTGGGTCGTTATCCAACGGTTCTAAAGTCATAACCGGATATATCCAGTCACCCTTCGGTAATTTTGCACGTACATCAATTTTTCCGTACATGAAGGCAAACGAATTCCTTGTATTCACACAACCAGACGCCACTGGTGGCAATATGTAGCTGCCAAATGCAGTACGAGTGCATTCAGGTGTGTCCACCTTTGCTGTGCATCTAAAACAAATAATTATAATATTGAATATAAAAAAAAAATATTTCTAAAAATCACTGCGTGTGTCAGTCAGATATTCAGAGTTTAATATCTAGAATCATAAATTTAGGATTAATATAGGGCAGGCACGGGTAAAATGGACCCTCTCTTTTTTTATATTTCCCAAGGTTTTTCCTCATTTTTTATGAGGATGGACGGGCGGAGTGATGGATGCCTTGATCCGCGTTTCAAGAAATCGTGAGAGGGAGGAAAGTCCATTTTACCCATCTTCCCCTCGAAATGTTTGTTTTGTCGACGCGTTGCACACATTGGTGGATGCTTTTGAGGGTAAGAACTAATGATTTGAGGAGTAGAAATCGTTGAAGAACGAGTTTCTGTTCTGGGGGTCCATTTTACCCTCCTCACCCCTACAAATTGAAATTTACGTGATTCACACTTTTTTCTTTGATTAAAAATTAAAATGTTCGCAAAAAATCAATTGAAATTAATTATCATTATGATTACTTCGGAAGTGTCAGACTCCCATGTTCAATGAAGTCCTTTCCATATTCCTTTTCCATAAGCGTCGGTGTTAATTGAAGTTCTCCAGCCCCAACTTTCACGTTTCTCATATCATTTCGATAAATGACAAAGGGGTAATCCTATTTAGGACAGAAAATCATGACAGGTATCAACATTTAGACAGTCAACTCCTCGAAATGACAAATAAAGTGGAGAATCTTACAGGAGCACGTGAAAACTGTTCAATTGTCTTCCATATTGTGTCATTGAAGGTGCTGAATTCATCCTCGAATAAAAGTTGTCCAGCACAGACAGCATTTCGCTTGCCCGTAGATATATCTACGACTAAAGTCGGTGAAATCTGACAATTAGGATTATCCGCTCCCGAGGATATCGGATCACCATTAACATTGACTCTATTACCACTGACGTCATAGAAATCTATTTTCAGAAACGAGGAAAATGGCGTGTCAATCAGGTTTACGATTATGCTTAATCAATAATTAATTGACCTTTTGATATGACCGACTGCCTCACCAGTGACCTCGTGCTCTTGGAACAGAAGATTGTAGCCAAGACCTTCGTACACAACGTGCACCCAATAGTAAACTTTATCTCCTAATTTCAATTTTGTTGTTCGATCCTCGTATTTCCAACGGCCATTTCGCACTCTCAATACGTCTACTGCAATAGTACCAGCTTCTAATCCTTCGAATTCTTCATTGATTCGAACGTGGAAGGCAACTAGTGTTATTCCTTGCTCATCTGTATTTCAATAGAGTATGGATTAAATTATGTCATAAGTTAACAATAATTGCTAATCGTCATTTTGCCAATAATTCTCACTCATACATTCATTTAACTTTCATATTATTTCATATTGTTTTTCACATCCAATTCCCTTTGTGTGGAAAATTCGAATTTTTTATTACAGGAAGGTTTCACCTGGAATTGATATCCTTATTCCTTTTGGATAGAGAGGCTCTACTCTAGCTTGAGGTGGAGTGTATGTACCCCCGGATAATCCAAAATTCCATAATAATAACGGAAAAATTAATAGAATCTGGACCATAATTGTTTTTATTTTAGAGAATATGCAAAAGTCTTAGCACTTCGTTGTGACTTCTCGAGACTGCATAACAGCACTGGCGAGAGACCAGGGATTTTACAGAGATAATTAAATGACTCTATGTTATCCTGGTAGTAGGGGATATTCTGATATCATTCTTTTTCCTTGTGAGATGTTACTGAAGGAACTTGTTTTCCTTATTATTGTTTCTTCTATTTTTTATTCGCTCTGTGACTTCAGTGTTGTATAATCGGATCACAGATATAGATTTGAAGCGTGAATAGATTTCGTCGGCCATTTTGGCGGCCGCCAGAGTATATATTGGTGATAATCTTATGCAATTATATTTTCTAATCACCATCTTGCTGTTTATAATTTATAATTACACCCTCAAGTAATATTTATTTAATATTATTATGTATTTTGTCGACTATTTTTCTATTTGCAGATGTAGCTCTTGAAGATATTTTGGATTAAAAAAAATTTATTTTCATATGAAGTGGTTGTACAATATTATTATTTATGCTGTAGAATCCGAAAGCCAGGGAGAAAGTATGCGTGATGGTGAAAGCTGTGAATGTAGAAGCAGACGACTTGCAGACGCAACCGGAAGAACTGGAGGAATAATAGGAAGAACTGGAGGAATAATAGGAAGAATTGGAGGAACGCGAGGTAAAACTGGCGGAACACGAGGTAAAACTGGCGGAACACGAGGTAAAACTGGAGGAACAAGAGGTAAAACTGGCGGAACACGAGGTAAAACTGGCGGAACACGAGGTAAAACTGGAGGAAGACGTGGCGGAAGAAGTCGTGTAATTGCACGTGTACGTAAGGACGAAAGATGACCAATCGGCAAAATAGGTGCGCGTTTAAAACGGATTGACTGCGAGCCATCATGAACCTGGTCAGGAGAAGCTGTTGATCCATTGATTAGGTCGCGATTATCACTATCTTCCTGTAAAACAAAAAATTCAATGTTATGAAATCTTCCAGGGAATTTCAATTGCCATGATTTTTATCCGCTTAAAATCCAGTCAATGACTTTCTCCTCGTAATGAATAATCAACGGTCTATGGAAGTTTAGTATTTTTCAGGTAATTTAATGGGACCTGATCCATTAAATCGATCAGGGAAAAACCTACGAAGTGCGTTACCTTTGGATTTGATAATCGCTGGACAGTTGGCACAGGTTTGGCTCCAGTCAGGGTTCTTGGAAGATGGAATTTAGTGGAAGCGCGACCATTAGAGATAATGTCTTCTTGTGCTAAACCAATAATAAAATTAATTAAATCTCTTTTTTATTTGGGTGCTTAACACTAATAGACAATTATCAAGACTCACTGTTCACACAATAGACACAAACTGCAAAGCAAATTAATCCGGAGCGCAGCATGGCTTACGTTTTCCAAAGCTATAATATTTGCTGTCAGTTATAAATTTAGGTTGGCATCTTTATATGATTTTTACTGGATGATTGCGACGGTAGGACGTGACTTTTCGTGCTCGCATATGCTCAGTTCCAGTTTTATTATGTAAACACCAACATGTGTAAAAAATTATACAAAAGGATATGATTCGGGAAAATTAATATCATTGTTTTCGTTATTACTACCACTCGAAATTCAGAATTCAAAATAAAAAGGCTGTGACCTTCGCTTTTAATAAATATCTCTGAAGAGAGTTAGGAGAATTAAAATGAAAGATCAAGGGATACAAATAAAAAATCATTACTTTGATCAATCAACCTTAATTTTTCGATTTATTGATAAGATGCATTCAAGGATAACAGATACTTCCTTGCTGATTATTCTAAGTAAATACTCATAATGGAATTACTGAATTGTAAATATTACTTTCCAACTCAAAAATGATTTATCCACGACTCATCCACGACTCATCCACGATAGGAGACAGGACGGATACGAGATGGTGACGGATAAAGTCGAGAATTTCCTGGCGGTGGTCCAGGAGATAGAATAGGATAGACTCCTGGTGAAGGACGAAGTCGAGAAGTTACTGGCGGTATTGGCGGAGATAGGATAGGATAGGCTGGTGGTGAAGGACGAAGTCGAGAAGTTATTGGCGGCGTTCGCGGAGGTAGGATAGGATATCCTGGTGGAGGTCGAGGAACAGCAGGTGGAAGGACTGAAGGGACAGGTCGAAGGCCTCGAACTCCTGCTTTTGCAACCCCACAGCAATATCTACGTGATCGATCATTCGATGCTTGATGAAATTGAGCGATCCCCCGTCTGAATCCGAAAATGCTTCTAAGAAAAGGATTTTTTCCTGATCTGATCGTTATGAAATTCGGTTCGGATGAATTCTCCATGGCCTCCTAACATAATAAATCAGCTCATAATTGGAAATAAATAAACAAATAAATCGATTAATTGAAAAATAGTCTAGAGAATTTTTTACCTTTGGATGGTTCAATTGATGATACACACCATTATTTGAGATCACGATATCTCGATTTTGTGCTAAATAAAAAGAAAAAAAATCGAAATCAATCAACATTCACTGTCGTTGTGCAATTTATTATTTTATCATAAAAATTTCAGAACTTACTGTTAACACAACAACAAATCGCGGACAGAATTAAGAAGCACTTCAACATAATTGATTCTTTTTAAGTCTGATAACTAATTTCGGCAATCACCTTTATATACCTACTGCATAGTTGATAGCTCGAGGGTAGAACGTGACGTTTGACGGAAATCGTTAATCAGCGATATGAAATTTGTTTTCTTCCGTGGAAAAGTCAACAGGAAAAATACGAAACAATTAAACAAAAGTCATTGTCTTTATTATCTCCCGAATTTGATTAGATTTATTCATCACTCTCACGATCACACGTCGACAAATAACAATATCTTCAATTTAATTTATACTAAAACCATTGTTGGATAAATGACAGAGTAATTTTTATTTCTGTGTCATTCTGTACCAAATAATTTCATAAATAAAGAGCCCCACCGAGAGTGCTATCCCGATAAGGAACACCTTCAAAGGTCCATCAAAATGAGAGAGATTCAACGGAATCGCCTCATCTCCAAGTACATACTCGATTCCATCGATATCTTCATTTATCCATTTAGCAATGATTCCTGCCTGCATCAATCGTTCGAGGCCCTTATCAAAATTCCACACATATGGGAAGCCCTTCCTCACGAAAATCGTCTGCCAATACTCTCCTACGACGTCATGCATACAATAAATGTATCGGGGATTGTCATCAACCGTTTCAGGAGTACTCGACCGATTATATGGAGATGTTACAGGGAGTAAAGTGTCTATTATACAAGCTAGATCTTCACCCCTGTCTAATCGTCTTCTACAGCTAAGGTAATCCCCTTGAATCAGCGTTCTACTCGCTATCTTCTGTTTCATAGGATCACTGGAAGAGTTCATCACCAAGAACTGATACTCATCAGCCATCACAGGGAGATCACTATTCGCTAGTTCCGCTATTGTCTCCAGCCCCGTGTAGAACACAGGATTCGTTATTTCGTAGTAAAGACGACTCTGCTGAAAACATACCAGCAAAAACGTAAATATAATCCAACTGATGCCATATATTCTATCAGGGACCGTAGAACCTATTCCGTAAAAGTGATGTTGAATTATCAATCTGAAGGTATTCAGAACGGGCGCATCGATACCCTTTGCGTACATGTAGATCGTTGAAATAATTGATAATATCACCAATAATATGTAAATAGTGATATCCAAAGATCTGAAGACTTGGATGATTCCAGGGATTAGTTTTGGCATCGGCAGCATGGCTATGCTAAAATAACGCGCGTATGGTCGGAGATACTCTACAGAATGATCAGCTAATCCCCATGACTGGGTATTACCTAGAATGTCAGAGTAATTCGTGATTAGATCGTAGGAGATTCCGAATGATTTACCACTTGGTGACCCGAGCTTGTAATATTCTGGCAGAGAGATCGCTCTACTCTTGACGTTGATCGAAAAATTCAGCCATGATGACAGGAACATTAAAATCTTGAGGTCGCAGTTGGTTTCCAATTGGGAGATGGTCTCCACGGGTTCTGAGGAGATCGAGTTGTACATGGATATGGTGATGGGATAGCCGTGCATATTTTTAGTAACAGTTGGTTGAAGCATGTCAACCGGTGAAGTGATTTTGACTTCTCCTCGAGTTGACTCGTCGGTCAGGATGAAGGGGTCGTAATTGTGAGCTATTATGTTTTCTGGATCGTTCATTGATAAAATAACAACATTTTGACAATCAAAAGAGCTGAATTTTTGGAAAATTGTCTTTAGGTGGGCTTCATTGGTGAGTTCGGTTACCCAAAGGACTATTCTAGTTCGTGGATTCCACGTGGAATTGTAGAGAGATATCCAATTCAGTAGATTGATGTCATCAAGCGATCTAAAAATTCCGATCAGATTGTGCAGCTTAGGACAGTACTTGGAATCGCTGCATGGTGAGACGAAACCATTCTCCTGGATGAGATATATTGGACGCATCAAAGTGTATTCTGAGATGATTGTGTCTAGGATTTGAGGATCAACCTGTTGATATGGAAGGTGGAAAAAACCCATTATAAAGAGACAAAATCAATGGAAATTATGCTTACTTTAGGATGGATCATGACGCTGATGGGTTGCAACTTCTTCACGTTTTTTAAGTGACACTTGACGAGGTTTTGGAGACCTGAGGGCTTTGTATAGAGAGATTCATGAATTATGTTAGAATAAAGTGGAGACAAAAGAAATAGATTCAGGACAAGACACGAGACTCCAAAAAATCGAGAAATTTCCATTTTTCGTGTTAGTTCTGGTGAGACTAATGTTTCAATCGAACCCAGTGGATTCTAGATTATGATAGATTTGTCAGTGTTCGATCCAAATGATATTCCCTCAAACAATATTCATTCAAAGTGTACTGATCACTTAAGATAACACCATAATTTCATTATACCGAAAATGAGGTCAAACAGTTTTTGTCGAATCATCAATTGCCTTCTCAAATTCATTTCTTCCAAATAGAATTTCCATCAATTACTTACCCCGACTCCTTTTCTTAGTATTTCAAATTAAGGTATGATACTGGGAGGTATTGCCAAGCTTTGATGTCGCCGACACCAAATTTTGGGATTTGAGACTTTGAAGTTTGAAATGGAAGGAATTATTCAGCATAAGATCTTGGAGGTGGCGAAACAGGTGGAGCGTCAATTAGATGGAGAGATTGAAGCTCTGGAGAACCTGGATATTGATGATATTGAAAAGCTGAGGGAGAAGAGGTTACAGGAGATGAAGAAAGTATATCAGCAGAAACAGGCGTGGTTGGCTGCTGTAAGGACCCCATCATAATTTTTTTTCATTGATTTCCATAGATGGTGATATTCGTGGCTCATCAATGAATTGCTTGGTGTTTTTGCAGAGACACGGAGAGTACTCTGAAATTCCTGATGAGAAGGACTTCTTTGATATTTCGAAAAGATCGAAGAATATTGTCTGTTTATTTTACAAGGATGGATCTCCAAGATGTAAAATTGCAGATCATCACCTACAGATTCTTGCTAAAAAACATGCGGAGGCGAGGTTTTGTAAATTGAATGTCGAGAGGTGTCCATTTTTGACAGGTACGGCTCATATTCATATTTAATTGTATTGCATTTCTGTAGCGAAGTCATGAACTTCGACTCAGATACGTGGATTTTTTGAAGCAACTAATTATTTGGTTCCAGGGCGTTTGAGGATCAAAATAATTCCCACGATAGCCCTCATATCAGACAGCAAGACAAAAGACTAGATCGTAGGCTTCACGGATCTCGGAAATTGCGACGATTTTTCCACAGAGATGATGGAGTGGAGAATAGCCCAGTCTGGTGCAATATCATACACTGGTGACATGTTGAATCCACCAGAAAAGGGAAAGAAGCCGTCTAATTTACTCTCTAAACAAGAAATCAAAAACAATTCGAGGCAGAACTCATTCTGACGACAGTGGTTCTGATAACGAATGATTTATTCTCATTCGATCGAATTTTCCTAGTTATTCGCATACCTTTTTGTATTATTATTATTTGTTTACGTCACGCACACTGATAAATAATAAATTACGAATTGAATCAATCTGATCGAACACAATAGACATTTATTTAGTGGTTTATATTGAATTTTTATTTGAGTTATAAATACCTTCAGCCCTCCTCATAAGTAAAAACTGAAATATAAAAATGTTTCATCAGGAA